ACTACTGTCATATTGCTAGTGGAGGGCTTTCGTCAATGAAGGAGTGAAGTACAGTGTTCCCTTGCTACTTCGCGGTTCACTTTTAGCGGACTCACTGTTTCGTGGGTTTTTCAAAATATTAATAAAAATATTAAATATTAAATATTTACATCCAGTGGAGGCCAGGGAGGCCAGGAACCCCAGAAGGGCGGCAGCCTGAGGTGCAGCGGGGAAGGCTTGCCTCCCTGGCCTGCTGCTGCTTGCATGGCTCCGGAGGCTCTGCAGAGGCCAGGGAGCCAGGCAGGTGCCTTTGGGATGGGCCAGGAGGCAGCTAAGGAAGTGCAGGTAAGAAAATAATATATAAAATATATAAAATAGTGTATAAATATTTAAATTAATATGTCGTCCCTACTTCGCAGATTTTCTCTTATCGTGGGTGGTCCTGGAACAGAACCCCCGCAATAAGTGAGGGAACACTGTACTCTCCCCCCCTCCCCCAGCTTTTCCAGGGAACACACAGGAGGAGGAATCAGTCCATCCTACGGCAGAAGGAAACTAGATGGAGATGACTACATGTCCCTATTATGCAAGATTTATACCATCCCTACCTCCTTTTTCCTGACTTTGCAATTCAAAATGACAAACAAAGACATACATTCAAACAACCAAACAGACATATACTTTAGAAAATAATAACTACAAGCTGGACCTTAATGAAGTTTAGCCATGTTGAACCCCAAAGAGCCAGGAGCTTTCAGGTGTCATGAAAAGTGATGGGAATGCATTGAAAGAATGAGAACAGCACATCGAACTAGAGTTTATGGATCAAGTACATGCAAACATGAGCTGTGTCTTTGTTTTTAAGGGACCTCATGTGTAAAGTATGACATGAACTTTGCTGTTGTGAATATTAAAACAAATTGGCAGGAAAAAGTTGTAAATATGCATTCAATTAGATAAGAGAGGCTTGAGATCTATATGTATTGCTACAAGGTTCGAAACATCTTTGTATTGCTAAAAATCAACAAACCAGGATACTGATATTCACAGAATCTCATATATCTAATCTTTACTTGAATTTTATTGTATAAACGAGGCCAGCTCCTAAATAAGAGACACTGGCAGTGTTATTAGGGGCAGAAAGATTTAAATAGCAAGGTTAAGAGAAGATATTTTTGAAGAGATCAATCGTAGGATTTGTATATAGGACATAAAGTAATGATAGTGTACTTTTATCATGAGCAGATGAGAATTTTGTATAAATATATAGTCATAAAATGTGGAAAGTCATATCTGGAACTTTAATCCAGTGTCGAGAGAGATACCTGAGAGAAACTCTAATAAAACTTTGCCAATCTGCACAGAAAAAAATATAAGGCAGGTTGCTAAGTTAAGAACTGGTATGTACTATACAGGCAGTCCCCAAGTTATGAACAAGATAGGTTTTGTAGGACTGTTCTTAAGTTGAATTTGTAGGTAAGTCAGAATAGGTACATTTTTAAAAATAGATAAGCTTTTGATACCATAGTGATGGGTTAACACCCTGAAGTGTTTGTTTTTCTGTTTGTGCTCCTGTTCAAAAGATTTCATCTCACTTTCTATTCCTGTGAGAATTGGAGTTTGAAAAAAAATGATTATTGTGGAAACAAGAATTTGTGATAAAGTTTCAGTGGAGATAACTCTTCCGGGAATGAATTTCCATTCCAAGGGGTAGATTTCTCTCACTTCTTGTTGTCTCTCCCCCATTTGTAACTATGTGTCATTTGTAATTTGCATGTTTTTAACTCAAGGACTACCTATATATGGATGTGGTCTGTTATTCACACCATATGTTTGCTTTAAAGTGACAAATACTTGTCCATATTGTCAGATTGACTTGTGAAATTATTTCATTACTATGGCAAAATTGTACCAGGTATCAAGAAAAAGAGCAAGGTTAGGATATAATTAAAGAATAATTCTGCAAAACTGTCTTAAATGGTGGATTCGTGTGCTAGAGTGAGGTATGTTTGGGGAGATGTGTTTTTAGAGTGCTGATAGACAGAGATCAATCTTAAGCTTGATGTTTATCCAAAAGTTAAATTCCAAAGATGACAACTTTCTGTGTCCTTAATTTTCAGTTGTAATATTTCCTAACATATAGGAGATGTTTACTCTTGAACACTTCACTTAGGGAGGACCCTTAGAAAGGACATACTTCCTCAGAAAGAAGAAGATATGTCACATCTAACATGGTTGTTATGACACAGGTCTGAGGCATGCTTGGAGCCACATAGCTGATAGCCACCTGATGGAGATGCTCCTTATTAGCTTTCCTGGAATGCTAATAAATCTCCAATCTGTTGGGCACTAGCTTGACTGGCCTGTCTCCTTACCTTTGACATGGGGGATGAAGTGGTGTCGGAAAGGGGAGTAAGGGCGGGAGTCATTGTGGGTGGAGATGGGACTGCTAGTGCGCAGGTGGGCTAACCGCTGCACACCATTAGACAGCAGCTCTGCGGCAGCAAGGAATCGTGAGGCAGGACAAAATGGAAACAAAGAAAGAGAACACAAAATAAGACAAAGCAGGGAAGCAGGAGGCTGGGAAAGGACAGAGGGAAAGAAGCACTCAACAGGCTAGGAGCCTGAAAACGAGGGAGAAAAAAAAGGTTAAAAAAAAGTTCCAAGCTAGAGAAGTGTTAGGAAAATTCACAGAAAGACAGCGACAACTCAGATTTGCACTGGATATTTCTCTGTTCCTGTTTCAGATGTTATTATCTAACTATATAAATGCATCACACATTTTCAAAAGTAGCAGCTGCCTAGACAAGGACCTACCAATGTATGATGAGAAAGTATATGGTAAAAAGAAAGGTAAAAGTTTTTTTGGAAGAATACCAGAAATGTATTGCCATTTCCAATGCAACTCCTGTTGAAGGTTCTTTAATACTATACAAATACTCCAAAACAGCCACAAAAATTGTAATTAGGGTAGGCTTTCATGTGGCTTAATAGTAAATATCCACAAATTTCTTCAGGTCACTTGGGAAAACATTCCCAAAAATCTAGAAATCTGAGAGTACACAAAACTTGCAAATATCTGTTTCTTTGCAAAATAATAATAATAACTATAACAGATTTTTTTAAAATCCCAATTATTTTAAAATGTAATTAATGACCTGTGTATATTTAGTCACACAATGATATAAAATCATCTAACATATCAATAAAGCAGGATCCTAGAAAATAATCTGATCCTGAATTGAGACGTTTCCTACTTGTTATTGCATATTACTGTTTTGTTTTTAGCTGAATATGATTCATTGATAACTCCATGTCCCTATTCATATTTGCATATTATAATTTTAAACCCACATATTGGCCTCAATTAAAAGTAATTCTGTGGTTCAGCATTCTATGAGAATCTTGCTGGGCTTGGATATTCCCCTTTCCTTCTGAGAGCAGTATATTTCACTTCAGTTTTTGAAGACTGAAAATTTTGCATTATATCCAAACTCTAAGCTGTAGGCAATCGCTATATTTATTGAAACAAACCAGCATCACAGACTATCATTTGAAGTTAGCATGCTTTAGTAAACCTCAATTTGTCTGAGTCTGAATACAAACTTCAGTTAATTTAAAATACTAGCAAAAAGTTCAAATCTCTTCTTCATAGTCATGCCAGAAGAAGATAATGGAAAGGAAAAGTACAAATCTAGAATATTCATTCACATAAAACTAAGACATAGTTTAGCATTATATCTGAATCAGGTTATTGTCTCTCTGGGCCAATCATAATGGATAGAAATGTAGAAAAGTGGGGCCTTTTAAGATTCTGTGCTGTCAGACAACGTGTATCTTAAATCACCACCACCATCACAATTCAACATGTTAGCACTTCTCTGTGCCACATTATCAAAAGAAAAATTCCTGGCAAATCAGCCATTTTCATCAGCATCTGAAACTGCTGCAGGAATATAAAACATGTGGATATTGGGGGTAAAAAAACAAGGAAATCAAAAGTAGTTAATCAGTGCTCTGGTTTATCGTTGAAATAACTGAGAAGAAGCACCATTTTTATTCTTATTTATCTCAAAACTGCAATATTTTAATTGGCCCTTCCTCCTCCCAGCAGTATATTTCATGAAACTAATGGTCTGCTGAAGTCTTCATAAGGAACAGAAGGATCAGTCATCTTACCAGACACAGGCACAAATTATGTTATGCTTTGAAGTAACAAATATGTGAATTAAGGAGGAATACTGAGTTACTAAATCACCGGACTGACCCGCTTGCCTTCTATGATGTCATCGATAAACACCACAAATAGTCCTGTCGCGTCTAAATGTTATTTAAATAACATTCTTAGCATTTCCAAAGAACCACCTGAAGAAAGTAAACTGGGCACCTGAAACAATGTTTGATACAACTGGTATTTATAATAGGAATTTCTCTTGCAAAATTGTAAAGAAGCTCACCCAGTGGCCCTTGTATTCATTCGCTCAAGAATCCTAAACAAAGCATTTTCCCTTTTTGAAAGGACAGCTTTATATTTTCAGCATCAGAGCACAGAGGTTACACATTTCTCTGGTTATATGATCTACGTAATCTGACTATCAGGAGTAGGCACAATTTCAAAAACTGAGACTCATTAAAACGATGCAAATAGTCTGAAATTCAAATGTACATTCCACTTGTAACTATTTCGGTTTTTTGAAGTGTGTTATTTTCCCCTAAGATTCCAACATTCCCTTGACCCATTCCAAGGAAGTTGTGAGTTTTTTTTCCCTCCTATTTGCAGCAATCCTTTTTTAAAGAGAGATTTAAATCAAAAGGGAGGTGGGTGAAAGAATTCAAGCATTTTATAAGATGCAAAAAGTTTATTTATTTATTTACTTTATTTCTACCCAGCCTATCTCCCCATGGGGACTCAAGGCAGCTCCTGTCTAATCCTGGAAAAGAGTATCTCTTTTCTATACAATTCCATGACATGACGAAATAAAAGTTCTAAGATTTGGACATATTATTTCATCAGAGCTTACCAGGTCTGTGAAAATGCTGTGGTGAACGTGACATTGTGGGAGTATAGCTGTGACGACTGTATACAGGAGAGCCAATGGAACCTTGACTTGTGGATCGCTGTATCATCCGATCCCGAAGATCTTGATAACCCTGAAGAAAAAAATATGTATATGTTTTGCATATCAATCATGATCACAATATTGGGCCTTGTCATGTTCCTATTTATGCACACATAAGGTACTGCCAAGGTATTGCTCGATATTGCTAAAATGTTATGGATGGTATCCTTGAAGTGACTGGCTTGACTCTGAAGGAGCTGGGGGTGGTGACAGCCGACAGGGAGTTCTGGAGTGGGCTGGTCCATGAGGTCACGAAGAGTCGGAAGTGACTGAACGAATAAACAACAAAAGCTAAAATGTTTTGCTGAATTGGTTTCCTGAATGTCACTGCTATGACAGGTCAGAAATCAACTAGATATTACAAGGGGTATTTCCATCACAACTCTAACGTCATTCTGGAAATTCAGCAAGTGGAAGGAGTTATTAAAAAGAAACCTCTCCTAGGCTATATTCTTAACCATTAAGCTGCTGACTGACACTGATTCAATGGTCTATTCAAGTTGGAAAAAACATCTGTGTTTAGACCTATTAGATTACTGAATTTTGCAAGACCTTTAGTTGACAGAATAGGAATGGGTCTCCACATTAAGATACAAGCTCCATCTTGACTTTTGAAGGGTGCATTACACATGATTATTTAGGAAAGTAGATGTGTGTGTCTATTTCTACCCATCTTGCCATATACTGTATAAAAATTTTCTCAGGTTTGCTAGACATTCAAACAGTATTAACGTTATTCAGTAAACTTCATTACTGAATTCTTTTCTGATTTTTTTTACCTTTAACTCTGTTTTCTGAAATTTCAGTTACTGCTATAGTATGACTCACATATCCACCAAACCAGTCCCAGTGGTTTTGTTTAGCCATATCTGACAAAACATGTCATTTCTATGCATTTCCTAGTTTCTCCAGAGTGACTCTTTGGTAATAATAACAACAACAACAACAACAACAACAACAACAACACCTTATTTATAGCCTGTCCTATCTCCCCGAAGGGATGCTTCTACTGGAGCTTTTTCATTCAATGGGGTTTGCTATTACCTGTATATTGTGTACCCATGCAAAGTGCTGAAATGCATCGCCTGTGGATACAGGGAACTTAGTGTACTGTTTACTAAATGATTTTTAAGAAGACTCATACACTACCATTGTGGGACAACATCAATTAAATGGATTGAGAGCTATTACTTAAGAATTATAACTAAAGTTTTCATATCCATTTTATTAATTCATTATATCTAACACAGTGGTTTTTGCATTCATAGAATTGTGGGTTTCCAGGAGACTGTTTCTGGATTGGAAAAGTATTAGTACTCTTTTATTAATAATAATATGGGAGAAGCAACACACTTATGGCCAAATTTCCATCAAACTTACTTCTGCTGATGGGGTTGGTGATAGTGTCCTTGGAGACTGAAAAATAATAAAAATATTACAGTAATTTTCATCTTGGCATGTTACAGGTGCCTGACTAGCAATATTTTCAGAACTTTTAATCAAAGGTTTAAAAAATGAAGATGATTAGAATCACCCAAATCTAGACTTCCAGCAGACTGCACTTGGTTTGGCTGCCAGATCTAAGAAAATGTCTCATCATCCATGCTTAATTTAATGAAATGCTTTGTAAGAAAAATCTCATAATAGCCAAGTCCATTATAATTGTAAATCCTAGCTGCAAACATGACATTGACAAACCTTAATAATTTGTCAGTTACTGTAATTCCACTAAAAGCATTCAAAAATATAAATCAATGTATCACTATCTTGTTGGCTCGGGCCTTTAGGTGGCATGTCAAATGCTAGATTTTGGATTGCTTCCACACGAACTTGCCAAATCTTCAATGAGCTAGTGAAGACACTTTTAATGGCTGCCTCAGTAAAATCTGGCCAAATTAAACAAGGAAATATAATATCCTAATTATATGTAAAGAAAAATAGAAACAACCAGTCAATCGTCTTTTTATATCTTTTCATAATTTGTCATAAACATTATTATAACAATTCAATTTATGAGTGGTTATTCCAGGAAAAAGGACTGAGATGAATATATGTATTATGTGGCCAACCATTCCTTTTTTCCAGTAATTCATTCAGCTTCATAACTGCCACTTTTCAATGTACATTTGGTGAAGCAATGATGACCATTGCCACTCTGTGATCTTCATAGTTGAACGGAGGTTTTGTACCACACCTAAGACCAACATTACAACACATGGGTTCTTGTGTAAGTCATAGATGGATTTTTATTGCGGAGTGTGTATGTGTATATTCATTTCACAACAATCTGGACACAGCTCAGTGAAAAGACTGGATTCAAGAAACGATAATACAAATGGTTCTTCAATAGCTTGTAGTCACTTCCCAAAATCCTGTAAGAAATAGCACTTCTCATTCACTTTTCACGTGCATGTCTTAATCACTTAATATGAATACAATTTAATAAAAATGCTAGTAGCCTACTTCTGACTCATCTAACATCATGGTTTTGAAGCCTGTCCCAGGACCACGAAAAACAGGGAGACCAACAAGCCACAAATCATGGCTAATCAGCTTGGTGAATCAGATGTTAGGCAGACTGAGAAATAAATCAGTTCATCTATTTCTATGTGAAAGGCCATCTTTGGATCCAACTCATGTTTTCTGCTTCGTTGTTCAACCTAGTCTCTGAGGTTACGTAGTGGCATGGTCTAAAATGCTAGATGCTTTCCGTCTATTCTAACAATGTGTCATTTGTCCAATGATCTCTTATTACAACTTGCACACAGACACAAAATATACCAATTATGCAGGTCAAGCATATGAGAAACTGATTTTGTTTCATACCAGTTTTATTATTATAGCCAATATCACCTCAATGGATTTTGCACTGTCTTTTTTTTCAACTTACACTTTCATCCTGCACAGGAGAACTGCCATATCTTGAACTCTGAGTCTGTCAAGGAAAGTTTGGGTTCATCACTCTTTTTGTAAATTCTAAAAAGGTTTTCACAAAAAAATAATAATGCAAAGCCTATAAACTACTCATTTCAGGCGTACTGGGAAATGAAAAGATAACCTGGTGGAATCTAGCAAGAGCAAAATGTCAAGTACTTCATGAATAAATGAAACTTGGCCCTCATGAAACACCTGATATAATGTTAACAAATTTATCTTACATAAATTTGTCTAATTATCTAAGCCATCCAAACTGGTGGCCATTATTTCCATATTATTAATGTAATGCATATATACTCTGTGGGTTGTCTGATACACTTGCTCCTAAACAAGAGTATTATCCATAAGATTTAATAAGTCTCTACCTTAAATTTCCATAATGTTTTCTATCACGTAGTCTTAATACGAAATTGAACTTCAGCAAAGATGTTAGATCTTGGTATGCAATGGCAACTTCAATTCACAGAGACATTAAAGCAATCACAGAGAAGACAACAATCTGAACTTGTATCCAAGTGAAATGCAGAACACGTGACAGGGTTGTTCCCATGTTCTAATTTGATCCTCAATCTTCCCCAGTCTACAGTGTGTGGTGGTTTTGTTATTCAACTTAGTGGAAGGGAAGTTTGTTGTTAATAATATTTCCCCACTCCATCCTAAATCAGGAATTCAGTTGTGTATGTGCACACCCTCAAGTTGTCAACCAACATATGACAACCCCATAAATTCAACAGCATTTTCTTAGGTGCTGTTTTCCAGTTCTTCCTCTGAAATGTATGTAGCCTACTTGTAACATTTGCATTATTAGTGGCTTCACTGTATCCTTGTTATCACCCTCTATACCAGTGGTTCTCAACCTGTGGGTCCCCTGGTGTTTTGGCCTATAACTCCCAGAAATCCCAGCCAGTTTACCAGCAGTTAGGATTTCTCTGGGAATTAAAGGCCAAAACATCTGGAGACCCACAGATTGAAAACTACTGCTCTATAACCATAAAATATACATGAAACTGTGTTACCCATTCCATGCTAGATCCAGAGGTCCACATAATCCTAGAACCTCAGAGTGTTTTGTAGAACATTGTCTGATGTGCCGGCAACAGCTGATCTTAGATGTGGGCTGCCTAAGTAGTATGGTACAAGCAGCTGAACGTTCAATATTTGTTACAGTCAATGTGGGGCTCTGTTTGGGGCTGTTTCAGAAGCTGGAGTTTAAGTAGAATGAAACTATCCAAGAGTTGCCAGTTGCCATTCTGTATCTAACATCTTCTCTGAAGGGTCTGCACTCAGGTGCCTATTTGCAACAATGCCAGGTTCATAGTTCTGGCACAAAGCCTTTAAAACAACTTAGGAAAAGAATAACAGACAGCTTTGTTTCTCTTCTATTATCCTAATTATCAAGATGTTCTGATGGAGACACTCTAGGTGATTCCATATGGATGCAAGATCTGCTCAGAATTCACCAAATGTATCATCTCCTATCCTGCATTACACCTTTCCAAATGATGTTAGGGATACCTGATGACTACTGTATCTCCAGTTTTTGCTGAAGACCTTAACTTCATATAGGCCTATCCTCAACAATTACTTCAACTCACAACATACTATGGTTTTTCTTTTTAAAAAAACTGTGTGAACCGGCTGAACTTGTTTACATGAATGTTTTAATAATTGTTTTTAACTGTTGTTTTAACTGTAACTGTTTTATAATTTATGTATTAGCATCGAATAGTTGCCTGTTGTAAAGCTACCCTGAGTCAGGGGTGAGAAGGACAGGATACAAATGCGTAAAATAATAAAAAAAACCAAATAAATTTGGTCCAATTTCATTTATACAGAACTGGGGACTTTTACAACTTGCACAAAATGAATAGAGGAAGATCTGGTGGAAATTCTATACAGATTTTAAAAGACCAAGAACGGAAGGAAACAATCCCATCACACTGAACATCAAACGTATCTTAAATCACCAGTGGCACCATGACTCATGTGGAGTCACGACTCAGAGAAGCAGACTGGCATCAATCATTTTATCAGGAGAAAGACTAATGAATGTGAATGCAAAAAAACCAGGGAAGGAAGAGAAGTTGTTCATCCCTGCCTTGTCTCAAGATCTCAATGTTAGAACGCTGAAGTATGTGTCTTTCTAAACATGGTTTTGTTTCAAAACTCAAAAGCCAATTTAGTCCTATTGCCATATTGTCACTGGTGATTATATGTTTTTAATGATTTTTATATGGTTTTTATAATGTGTGCAAAATGTTTTTAATTGTGTTTTATGATTGTGTGGCATCAAAATGCTGCCAATTTGTAAGCCGCCTTGAGTCGCCTTCGGGCTGAGAAAGGAGGCACAGAAATACCATAAATAAATAAATAAATAAAATGACAACTCTGCAAGATACCACCAGAAAAGAGAATAATTCTCTTTATCATCATTTAACGCCAACCATTTCTTCTAGCATTTCTGGGTTAGACTCAATAAGCTTGACACAAGTGAAACTTCTATTTGTTTCACTACGAATGCTCTGTGTGCATTATCACAGCAGCAGTCAGCATATAAAAAAGACATTGTCTCAAACAAAAGCAAGAGCAAGACAGACTGTAGCAGCAGAAGCAACATGTTGCTGGAAGCCCTTAAAAAGAAAAGCAGTCAAAATGGCAGCCCTGGGAAAATATGAACAATGATTTTTTTTTAAAAAGGCATCATACACATGCATCAAAAGCTTTAGGTAGCCAAGACGTTTGTCTCCTTTCAATCCTTAGAGACTCTGGCAGCAGAATCTGAAAACACGAATATCTCAATAAAACACAATCGAACAGGAAGTTTTTACCTACCAGAGACATATATTTCTAATTGAGTAACAGGTATGACGGTAAAACAGATTCTTTACATTCATTTCATGTCTGATTCCATTACTGTCACTAGAAAACCAACTACTCTCTTTCGCTAGGTGGTGCTATGTGAACACATTTTCTAGAGCAAGGTCTAAAGCTGTGTCAGTGCTAAACTGGTGCCTGCCACTAATAATACACTGGAAGAGAGTGAACAAAATAGAAATTAAACTTAATCCAGGCAAGACAGAAGTGCTCACGATCAGTCAAAAGACAGATCAGGATATAAACACTCAGCCTGTGATGCATGGAGTCAGTCATGCCCACTGAAGACACAGGCTTGCAGCTTGCATACTGGATTCAACCCTTAAACTAAAAAGATCAAGTTTGTCTGGTGGCCAAAAGTATATTTACACAGTAAAAGATTGTGCACCATTGCTAGACACATCAGATCTGTCCACAGTAGTATATGCCTTATTGACAACCACTTTGGTTTACTGAAAGATGTATTTTTGAAGAGTGCTCCTGAAATTTTAGGTATTTCAAAAAAACAACAGCAAGATTGTTGACTCGGGCTGGAGCACACAAATTCCTCATTGCAACATCTTCGTTGCTAGTTGGTTTATTTTCATGCAGATTTCCAACAAAAAAATCCTCTTTATGGATTGCTCTTGTAACAACTAGTCTAACTTTCCAATATTTTGGAATCCTGAACTGAGCTATGAAAATACAGGTTCTTTTTGTGCTTGGTAAATGGCAGTAACACATAATTATACAGAATTCTATCATGTTGAACGTTGTGACATATATGTCACTAGAACACATTAGTAAGAATTACTATTTCCACATGGCACTTGGATAACTTAGTCTGAGGCAGTGCCTTGCTGAAGGCCTCATGTAACACCATCCTACACATGTGTAGTAAGCACTGAAACCCATTTTGTTCAGTGGAGTAGGTGTGTGTACAGGATTGCAACTGCAGTCATTTCTTGGAAGGGAATATTTTGAACTATCATCTCTCCAGCCACGTACCACTTTTTTGGTCCTTAAATTGCAACAGCTTTCAGGATTTCTTCTCCATACTTCAGTGTGATCTTTGACTAGCATTGAAGCATGCAATATTTGTTTCCTACACCTCAGATATTTCATTCACACTGGTCTTCTGGTTTTGCCCTGTTGATTTATTGATCCTGCTTTATTGATCTCACCAGATTTTGTACAGATTTCACAGATTTCATTTCACACTAGAGGTTTGCTCTCTTCTCTTTGTTTTCACAATTCCAACATTTTGTACAAAGTATCCGTATTTATTCGAGTCTAATGCACCATCAAACCTATTGTGCCACTCAATTTTCAAAATCCTGAAACCAAAAAAGTATTGGCGAATGTAATGCACTATGGCAAAAAGTGCATTCTTTGTCATTTGGCCCCAAAAGGTGCACATTACAGTGACTGTGTGCTTATAATTCCTTCTTTAAAAACAAAAGTGTTAGAACACCAAAACTTTTATCAATTAAAAAGAAAACCTTGGGGTGTCTCTATGCTGTAGAATGAATCCAATGTAACTGCCCTGGCTCAATGCTATGGAGTTATTGAGGCTGTAGTCTGGGATCATGAGGGCTGCCATGGAATGCTGATGCCTCACCAAACTACAAATCCCAGCATTGCATAGCATTAAACTATGGTAATTAAATTAAAGGTGACGTCCCTCAAAGTGGAGCTCCAGGAGCTTTTGAAGTAGCTTTCCCTTTTGTTTTGGTTCAGCACTAAGATTACTGCATTATGCAAATCCAATGCACACTCTAATTTTAGGAAATTCATTTAGCAAATAAAGGTAAACATTTGATTTGAGTAAATATGGTATTATCCAGAGGCAGTTCCTGCCAATAACCAATATTTTTCAATAACCAAAGAGTATTTTTTAAAATATAACTTGTGAAGGGAGAAGACAACAATAGAAAAGGAAGGAACTACTTGGCCTAAGGCTGTTCATCAGTTTTCATAGCAGAGCTGGAAAAAGACCACCGCAATTTTTAGATACCTCCCTCTAAATCAAGTGCCCTCTTCATTTTATATTTTCACTTTTCAACAACACTTTGCAAACATGAATGGTAAGCAATCCTTCCTTCCTCAGGTTTCTTCACTCTCAATGTCTTCATCTCACCTTTTTTTTGCATCTTTACAGGTGGTAGCATGAAATAAAATTAGCTCTTTTAAGTTTGTCCTTTCACCTTAGATGTCTGCAGAATTTAAATTCCATTCACTAAATGTATTTCCATACATGCATGGTTCTGGTGCCCTCCTGTTAGCGAAATATTTGTGCTCAGGTTTTTGTGGCAATCTGTTTGGAACAAATTTATCAACAAACTAAATGGTAGCCATAAGTAGAGATACTGTGAGCAATACACAGGAAAAATGGGTACTATAGTAATTTTGTTACATAGTAATTAGCTGTACTTTACCTGCCCCTCTCATTTACAAAAGTTAAATATATATTATTTTCACAGCACCTCTACAATACTGGAATAAACAAGAACCCCAAAAGGGCCCTCCAAGCAATTCACAAGGTTAAAAATCAACATATATTCAAAACATACACAGTTTGTATTCGTTGTGGGAAAGCCAATTCAGTAAGTTCTTTGGAGGTGAATTTGTGGGATCCATTGGAGATGTTTAATTATTGCTCAGGCACTACAAAGTGCCCCTGTAACATACATGGTAAGCTAGGGACAGCATTGAATATGATTTGAATTATTCTTTAAAATTTAAACCATGTCCAAAAGAATATATGGATTATATGAAATAAGGTGCTTTCAAAATGAAATCTTTCTTTAAAATTTAAACCATGTCCAAAAGAATATATGGATTATATGAAATAAGGTGCTTTCAAAATGAAATCATTTCACACTAGAGGTTTGCTCTCTTCTCTTTGTCTTCACAATTCCAACATTTTGTACAAAGTATCCATATTTTGTACAAAGTATCCATATAAACCAAGGTAAGAAACATGTTTGTTCCAATATCCTGAATCTTTAAATGGAGGGTGACCATATTGCCCAGAATTCCTTCATTCAGTTAGTTCCAATTATGGTTGTCTAATCTTTAAGCAAGAATTGACGATTTTCTATAACTGAATTCTATTCTAGCCTGATTGTTAAGAGAGGTCCTTATTTTATTTATTTAATGAAATAAATACCCAATTGGTTTCATTAGAGCCAGTGGCTATCATTTTCTGCAATTATTAATTTCCTTTTAACCAGTGAATCTGTTCCTGTAATTTTAATACAAAAATCACTTTGCGGGTGGGGTGTCATTTTTTCATATAAACAAGCGGACAAACAGCAGGTTTTCTTTAAGACTGTGCGCTACTCCTACAAAACATGTCGTCCTTCATTCTCATGAAAAGCTCTAAAATCCCTAACCCTTTGCTGGTGCTTCAAAAGCTTATCCTGCCAGCTAGCATTACTATGCTTGCTTCACATATCATTTGGCAGCTGCCATGAAGATGGGAAGAAAAAGACACTAGAAGACAGCTTGTAGTGTTAAGTTAATAATTAATAATAATAATAGTAATAACAATGATAAATAAATAAATAATACACAAAGGAGCCACCACCTTATACGAGCAATGCTCATGCTGCAAGACAAAAAACATCACAATTATTTTGAAGCTAAAGAGATGTGAAGCATTTGGACAGAACACTGGTAGCAGCAGCAGCATGTTATAAAGAGGACAAAGGCTAAGCTGGCTTTTAATCATCATTCATATAAGAAGATAATGGGTGACTCCCGGATTCATTACCTCTCCAAGACTCTGCCTCTCTTGTCTCTCCTCATAGGCGGAAGTGTAGAAGGGCTCATAAGTAATTAGGTCTGGACGCTCAATGTCATAAATGGCCTTGACTTTGGGAATGGCTGCTAAATCCTTATAATCAAGGATTTCATTGTCTACTTTTGCCTGAAGGTCAAAGACAGAAGATAAATTAACACACAAACTTGCAGATTCTGTTACACGTAATTCATTTTTGAGGGACTCAGTAACATAAGAGAGTTAAATAAAACCTTGAGTTGCTAGTCCATTGCTTTAAAGAAAGCCACTGTTCTTTTCTCGATGGGTTTTAACATCTTAAGTGGAACAAAATATTTTTTTTTATTGTCTTACAGCCCAAACTTGGCAATGTATCAATCCCATCCTACTATGAATTCTAAATCCAGCTCTGCCAATAACTCAGTGGGCAGCCTTTGGGAAGTATGTAACTTCCTTATTTTGGGTTTGATTTTTCCATTAGCAAAATACATCACATGTATTGCTTACTCCTGCCAATTGTTATCTCAAAAATGTTGAGAACAGTAGGGCTGACAATCAGATGACAAACAAGTTGTAATTCATTTTTATTACAGCACTCAATCACATTTCTATTCCAACCACCCCCAAGAATTTGTGGCAAGAGATATAAAAAAAGCAACCACTTTAAAATTCATTTAATGATTTATTTCTAAATATATTAAAACAGAAAGCTGAAGTATTTCAAACAAACCACCAAGAATCAAGCAGCACATGTTAGTTTCTATGTTGCTGAACTACTTATATTATTTTGGCACATGTGATAAGGGGGACTCTCTTCTTTAAATACGTTAATCCAACTGTATCTGTAAAGAAATCATGACGTTGGTGTCTATGTTGCCCAGCATGCTCTATATACGTAGAACTAAGTTTAGGTCTTTCTTCATCTTATCTAGCACATAAATCGTTACCGTTATGAAGTCCTACAGTCTAAACATAATAGTTTTAGGTAAAGCAACACCTCTTTTAAAAGCTGGGCACAATTTATGTCAGACTTTGTAAGTCATTCTTTGAGACAGAAGCAACCATCATCACTTCATAACAAATCACGGTCATTTAAGCATGTTAGAATATGCATGCTGTGTTGTGGTTTGAACGTCCGACTATGATGCTGAAAAATGGGGTTTGGATCCTCATTTAAACGTGAAAACCCACTGGTGACTTTAGCTGAGTCGCACACTCTTAGCCTCAGAAAACCACATGGTAGGTTTAATTGTCTATATGTTTGAAACAACTTTAAGGCAAACAACAACAATAACAACGTATAGTTTGCTATGAGGAAATACGCTTATCTCAGAGAAGAATCATGCCTCGATAATGTTCATGGCATGTTATCTTGCCACTTGGTGCTGAATCATCTTAAGAACTTCAATGGATGGGAAAAATGTATCCCATGACCTTTTTCTGAAACTCCAAATCCCACTGTCCCCCAAAAGCTCTCAAGAAAGAGCTCTAGGTGACCACTTGACATGTGGCTACTTATTAGAGCAGAAAGTACTGGCTACTAGGTATACTACTATTGTGACAATGGGTGCATCTATACAATAGCTTTAATGAAGTTTGACACCACTTTAATTGCCCTGGCTCAAGGCTAAGGAGTAATGGGGATTGTAGTGTTGCAAAGTTTTTAGTCTTCTGTGGTGCCTCAACAAACTAGAAAACTAAGGATTCTTTAGTACTGAGCCATGGCAGTTAAAGTGCTCTCAAACTGCATCAATTCTATGGTGCAGAAGCAAACTGGCACAGATTATTCAATAGAATAAACCTCTCATATATGAAGTCACCTCTAAGAAGAAATACTACTTTTCCATGGAACGTGCTCCTGTAAAGCAAGAGGTTATGCTGATGGTAATACTGCTGCTGGAAGAGTCTCCCACATCATACAGGTTTTTGCTGAGGAGCCAAACTAAATGTGTCAAATAGCTACAGGAAAAATGCCTTAGTGTGTGAAATTTGTTTGTGTGTGACACAGACACAACGCCTCTCAGAGAAAATACAGTGGCACCATAACTTATTCTTACTAGTACTAGATAGAAAGTGGCACCAAGAAACCAATGCGGAATGCTTTAAAAACAAAAACCCTAGGATGGGGCAATTCAAAATGAAGCAAGAGATGAAACTGGCAGATGGGATTCCTAAATTGGGGGACTCAACCTGCTACTGGGGAAGAGCAGAGGACAAGTAAATAATTTGGCTGAAACCAAAAGAATGTGAGAAGCAAGAGTGGACATTGCAATACTTGGGACGAGTGTGCTAAAGTGGACTGAAATGGAGCATTATCAGATAATTGCCACTCAATGTATATAAACCTTGTTCGGAAGCCTGCAGAATGGTTTCTGGAAGCCTGCCACACTGTCCCGTTTCATGCATTTTGACAGCTACAAGCATGAATAAATTAAGTGCAGACAGCTGTATTTTCTATGTTTTTAAAGGGCATCTGCTTCTTTGACTTATCAAATACACACACACACACACACCTATTGATGCTCTGTTGAGCTTTCCTCTAATTCCTACTATCTACGGATGCTGCCATTTTGGTCCATGGAGTTGATACTTAGAGCAATTACCATATATATTTCAATCTCAAGCATAAGTTGAGGGCAGGTTTTGGGGGTAAAATTATGGCCCTTGATATATACAGAAATATATAACGCATATTTATAATGTAGTCCAGAAGATCAATAATAAAATCCTGAGCATTTTTGCACAAAAGTCGATTCCACACTACATCCAATGTGACCTTCTATCGCACAGTCTTATGCACGGCTACTCAAAAATAGCTCTCGTTCTTTACATCAGAGTGACTAATTTTTGAGTAAATACATGCATAATTACACTGTTAGTACTTTAATATATTATACCAAAGAATGAATTTCCTCTTTAAAATAAAAATGTAGGAAGAAGACAAAAATGGACTACATGCTGGGATAATCTAAAGGGGAAAAATCAGGCATGTGAGCAAAGGTCTCCATACACTGGGTGTTGTTAATAAGATATCATTAAAAATGTAACTAACTATTTCATTTTCTTGACTTTTTCACTTCACAACAAATACTAGCTGTTCAATGGATATTACAAACAGCTGTGAATTTAATTCTACTACATACTCCCATAACTTGTTTGAAAATAATTATGTACTAGCCCTGAGAGAATGGCCTTGTGCAACTTTTAAATGCCACTTTTGTTTATGTTTTTCTGTATTTTTTTTAAACCCGAGAATGCCTGTCTGGACATTTTAACAATACTGCTTTTAAAACACTTTAATTACTCCCTAGTGTATACAAGGTATATATAAAGTCTGTCTGGTAATGCAGATTAGAAGGTAGGGTCGGCCATGAAAATCTGAGTTTCCCAAATTTGCCCAAGGCAAATCTATGTGCACATGGTGACTTCGCTCCAGAACATTTCCTGCAGCTCGAAATCAGCAGTTCATAAAGAATTGTTTTAAACACCTGCATCAAAAATACACTGACTCCATTGACTGCCAAACCAATGTCCTTAATGTGCATAAACCAGTCTGAGTCCCTCTGCAGAGGTAGAGAAGATCGGGATATAAAAGTTTTAAATAAATAAATATTTTTTCTGCACTTGCATAAACTATGGGTCAGTTGATATTGTAACAGAATAACAATGCTTCTTCTGATAATCAAGGAAAAGTATTGTGTAACTCAGTATCTCCTCAGTTGATTTTTCATTGACCATAACTATGAATTTATTTGGAGAAAGTGTTAGTTTATGAAGAGGTTTTCCCCAAAAGACGTTCACCAGGTCCTTTTATGACAACTCAGTGGGCCCTGTGTATCAACTGGGGTTTTCCTCAAAGGATCCCTCATTAATTACAAAATGTATGGATCCTCAAGTCTCCATTATATATAATGGCATTGTAAAATGATGTCTCTTTTTTAAAACAGCAAAATCAAGCTTTCCTTTTTGCATTAAACTTTGGCATTAAACTATTTTCAAACCTTGGCCACAGTGGTCCATGCTCTCGCTACATCTAGGATAGACTACTGCAATGTGCTGTATGTGGGGTTGCCTTTGAAGACTGTTTGGAAGCTTGAAATAGTCCAACAAGAGACAGCTGGGTCAATAACTGGGGCGGCATACACTGAGCACACAATTCCCATGTTACATGAGCTCCACTGGCTGCCTGTTTGCTACCAGGCACAATTCAAAGTGCTGGATTTGGCCTATAAAAGCCCTAAATGGGCCTGGCCCAGTTTACCTGTCTGAACGCATCTCCCTTTATGAACCACCACATAGTCTAAGATCTTCTGGGGAGGCCTTGCTCTCAATCCCGCCACCATCATAGGCATGTTTGGCGGGGATGAGAGAGAGGGCCTTCTCAGTGATAGACCTCTGGCTATGGAACTCCCTTCCTGGCAATATTAGATCAGCTCCCTCCCTCCTGTCCTTCAGAAGGATAGTGAAGACCTGGCTGTGGGACCAAGCCTTTGGGGCCGTGCAATGAGGCAATAATAGAATGATATCCTGAGATGATTTTTATGCAACTCATTTTAAATTGGATATATGTGATTTTAATGTTTGTGGATATATTTGTTTTAATGTCCTGACATTGAATGTTTGCTGTATATATGTCTGAGTCCCCTGCAGGGGGAGAAGAGCGGAAAATAAATGTTTCAAATAAATAAACCACAGGTGGTTGAATCTGTGGATGCAGAATCCATAAATACAGAGAGCAAAAAAAATATAATGTTGGATTGTTCCTCCATCAAGATGGATCTGTACACAGACTTTTCCCCCTGAAACATTGTACGCCTAGGGAAAACCAAATTTTTCCCAGAATCCAAGTACATTTACTGTCTTACTGTCTTGGCCAATCAGTCCTGTTTTAGTTTACCACTATTCTTCTATTTCAAAGTAAATTTTATTTCCCTCTTAAGAACATTTTATTCATTAAAAAGAAAAAAGTTAGTGTCTATTTGTTTGTGTATCTTTTATTTTTGATATGGTCATTGGACAGATTTATCTGTCTACTCCAGTGGTTCTCAACCTGTGGGTCCCCAGGTGTTTTGGCGTACAACTCCCAGAAATCCCATCCAGTTTACCAGCTTTTAGGATTTCTGGGAGTTGAAAGGCAAAACATCTGGGGGCCGACAGGTTGAGAACCACTGATCTACTCCCTTTCCCAAAGCTCTGGGTTCCTGTCAGTAATTTTCCTTTCTTTTTCCCCATTCTTTGCCTGGACTGCCATTGCTGGAGTTCAAATAGCTTGCCTCTTCACCTTCTGATTTTACTTTGCCCATAGTCAGATACATTGCCCAGGCAAAGTAGCAGTGCATGTTTTACTCTATAGAGATCAAGTACCTTTTCTGTTCTAAGACGCCCCGTTCTTGTATATTGACAGTTATGCAAAACTAGTCAAGTATCACCAATTTCAATGATTAGTGGCAACTTTCACACACATAAACAGGGATACTCAAAGACTCTGGGTTCCTCCTTCTCAACGAGAAATGTAAAATGAGGATGACATTCATTTACACAAGTTTTTTTTCTCACAATACTATGAAATATTATTGTCAATGCCAGGATGCTAATCAGTAACAAGCAAGGTAATAAATAAGAGGAATGGAAACAGCACCAATTGCTGGCAGAGATTTTTGAATACGTGTATAACTGGAGTAAATGGAGACTGAGATATTTTGATCTCGCTGGTGACCCAAAATCTCAGTTCCCATTTCTGCATTAAGGCAGCACTACTAAATCCCAAATAAATCACACAAATCAGTAATCAATTGTTAAAAATAAAATGTGAAATGAAATTATACTCACATAGATTGAATGCCCTGGTGAGCCAGGTATACTGGATCCAGGCCTAGAATAAATACTTTCTGAGGATGTTCTTGTGGGCTGTGAAAATACAAAACAAATGTTCACTTGTAAAGACAAAGTTGGAGGATACACCCTATTTTAAAACACAGAAAGCTACCGTCCATTTCAATTGTCCAAATCATTGTTTTCTTCAATGAAAACGGTTAAGTTTCCATAATCGACATGTGAAGCAGGCTGATCATTCTCTCTGCTGAGAATAAGGCATTTCAGAAAAAAGAAGTGTTTTTTCTGTTAACAATATATGCAGCCAACAAGGATGAATGCAAAACTTCCAATGCAACCTTGCCCTTTCCTGCTGGGAACACCATTGCTTAAGTGGAACCCACTTAGAAAAATGATAGCTAAGCCTGTGAACCTGCTTGTGTTAATACATGTGCTGCATATCACTTGTATAGCTACAATAATGTTAACAGTAATGGAAAACTGAACAGGAAAGACATTTTGTTAAGTACAACTAATAGAAGAGAAAAGGGGTCTAATTTCAGGGGTCTAATTTCAGTGCTTTACAGCTGGTATAATAGGAGCCCCCAGTGGCGCAATGGGTTAAACCCTTGTGCCGGCAGGACTGAAGACTGAAGACTGACAAATCAGAGGTTCGAATCCGGGGAGAATGCAGATTAGCTCCCTCTGTCAGCTCCAGCTACCCATGCGGGGACATGAGAGAAGCCTCCCACAAGGATGGTAAAACATCAAACATCCGAGTGTCCCCAGGGCAACATCCTTGCAGACGGCCAATTCTCTCACACCAGAAGTGACTTGCAGTTTCTCAAGTCGCTCCTGACATGAAAAAAAAAAGCAGGTGTAATATAATGCGGTCCTCTTCATTATTCCAGAATGGCTTTGGCTTCTTTGTGGTAAAAGTTTTACACAATCAAACTTTTCCTGCATGGCAGGGGGTTGGACTAGATGGCCCATGTGGTCCCTTCCAACTCTTATGATTATATGATTCAATGTAACTTGTTACTAAGCCCCAATGAACTCTGCAGGGCATTCTTTAGAGTAAACACGCATAAGATTAATTTGGCAGTCATTTAATGTTCATCCTAATAGAGACCATTTCAGATCTAGCAACTACTTGAGTCAGGAATTATGTAATTTATATTGTTGAAGGCTTTTATGGCTGGAATTACTGGGTTGTTGTAAGGTTTTCAGGCTGTTCCAGAATCATTCTCTTCTGACGTTTCACCTGCATCTAAGGCAGGCATCCTCAGAGGTTGTGAGGTCTGTTGGAAACTAGGAAAATGGGGTTATATATCTGTGGAATGTCCAGGGTGGGAGAAAGAACTCTTGTCTGTTGGAGCTCGGTGTGAATGTTTCAATTGGCCACCTTGATTAGCATTTGATGGCCTGGCAGTTTTTAGGTGGGCTTGTTACTGCCTGGGGGAATCCTTTGTTGAGAGTGATTAGCTGTTATTAGCTGGAAACAATCAAGGACAGATGATTTCTTTCTCCCACACTGGACATTCCACACATATATAAACCCCACTTTCTCAGTTTGCAACAGATCTCACAACCTCGGAGGATGCTTGCCATAGATGCAGATGAAACGTCAGGAGAGAATGCTTCTGGAACATGGCCAAACAGCCTGAAAACCTTACAACAAGCTATTATGTAATTTCATAGGGTGGTGGGTAAAAGACAACATTTTTGTTCTTTGGATCCCTAACACTTAGCTCCTACTGAGTATGGGGGCTTGTTTATAATCAGAGGCGGCCCTAGGTAATTTTGTGGGTGTGCAGGTGATTCCCTGATTGACTTAATGTCTCATTCCGAAGAAGGCAACAGTGCCAGGCACAGAACACAAAAGGTGATCATGCCACAGAGCCAGAGGGCCGGGTATCCACTCAAAAGGCTCATTTATTCACCTTTGCTTAGCCTTTGCATCTGTGGGAATCCTAGACCTCTGGACACACCTGGCCAGGTAAAGAGTGCAAAACAGCCCAACTGATAAAGGGATTGTCTATCTGTCACTCTCACACAAGAGGGATTCCATGTCTAGGCTGGGAGATCGCTAGAGGGAGGTTTACTGAGGGTAGAGGACTCTCCGTTCCCAGGGTTGGATGTACATAGAAGGGAAGGGGACCAGGGGCCTTCACCATACATTTGAGACACTAGGAATACAGCACACCCCAAAATATAATTCAATAAATTTGTGAAAGGTTTGGGGTTCCCTTGCCAGGTATCTCCTGAGGCTTTCGGGGGCTTCCAAATGGTGGAACTCTGTGCCCTGGGTCTCTCCCCGCATCCCCTTCCTCGCCTCCTGAGCACTCAGAGCCTGGCCAGGCCACGAGAGAAGGTCTCCTGGAAAGGGAGAGGCCTCTTCTCATCCAGAGGAAATCCCAGTCCTGGCCACGGAGTCTCTGGGTTTGGCATTCACTGAGATTTCACACTAACAACTATTGATATTCTGCATTTTGTAGCTGAAGGCTTTCATGGCCGGAATCTCTGTGTTGCTGTGAGTCTTCCGGGCTGCGTGGCCATGTTCCAGAAGCATTCCCGCCCACACCTCTCTATGGCAGGCATCCTCGGAGGGGTGAGGCCTGTGGGAAAGCAGGCAAATGGGGTTAATATAACTGTGGGAAGCCAGGCAGGAAGCAGCCAGGCTTTGGACCTGCAAGGCCATTCAATGGTAACGAAGGTGGTCAATGGAAACAGAGAAGAGTTCTTCTTTCTTCCTCCTGACGGCGAGCGCATCTTGTAGCCCCGCCTTTACATTAGTGTGAACTGCAGCAGGGAGTTCCGCAGTTCCTGGGCCAAGCTTTGAGGCCAGCAGATGGAATGCGCCCCAGCTGCTAGCTCCAAGACCAGGAATGCCTGCAACTCCAGGTAACTTCCCCTCTCCTTTGACTTTGTATCTTTCCCTAATAAAGTGCTTGAAACCTGAAACTTTCCGATGTAATTGATTTCTTCAATTGATCCATGGCAGTTTGACAATTTGGAGTCCAAATTACCTGGTTCGGGTTCTTCTTTTTGGTAAGATCCGAAAGAGGGGCCGCCAAATTACTAAAAGATGGGATAAATTTGCGATAGTATCCAGCCAATCCAAGGAATGCCCTAACCTGTTTTTTCGTTTTGGGCACTGGCCACTGGTGAATAACTGCCACTTTAGTAGGGTCAGGTCGAATATGACCTCCTCCCACTAAATGTCCTAAATACTTAGTAACATTGTATCCTATCTTACACTTAGAAGCCTTAATAGTTAACCCTGCTTCTCTCAACCTGCTTAACACCAGATCCAAATGTTCAAGGTGAGCTTCCCAGGAATCGCTGAAAATCCCTATATCATCGATATAGGCCACGCAAAAAGACCCCAGCCCACTTAAAACACTGTCTACTAATCTCTGAAATGTGGCTGGGCTATTTTTTAGCCCAAAAGGGAGGACAGAAAATTCAAATAACCGACTTTGGGTTCGGAAGGCGGTTTTGTGTCGATCCTGTGGTGCCATGGGCACTTGCCAGAATCCTTTAGTCAGATCTATACTACTAATAAAGTTGGCCTTCCCCATCCTTTCTAGCAGATCGTCTAAACGTGGCATAGGGTAAGTATCTGTCTGGGTTACTTTATTTAACCGCCTATAATCCACGCAAAATCTAATTGTCTTGTCTGGCTTCTGTACCAACACTATGGGTGAAGCCCAAGAGCTAACTGATGGAACAATAATACCTAGGTCCAACATTTCTTTAATCTCCTTTTCAATACACTCATTAATTCTCCCCGTGACCCTGTAGGGTGGAGATACTATGGGAGTTGCATCACCGGTGTTTATTTGATGCTGGACTCCCTGGACCTTTCCTGGCAAATCTGAAAATATGTCTTTATATTTACTCAAAACTTTCACAACCTCTCTTCTCTGTGGTTGGGACAATTCTATGTTCATTTCTACCCGATCCAAATTTTTGTACTGTTCACGATCACCCTCCCAAAAAGAAAAGGGACCGGATTCTTCCTCCGAAACAACAAAACATACATTAGCAGACCTTTCAACATAAGGCTTTAACATGTTTATATGGACTCTTCTTTCTACATTGGAATGTTCATCATAAATATCATAGTTTATTTGGTTGTGTTTTCTGATGATCTTCCAGGGTCCCGACCAATCCAATTGAAGTTTGTTGGTTTTGTTGGGAGATAAAAATAAAACTTCATCTCCGATGTTGAAGATCTTTGGTTTAGCAGTAGAATCATAATAGTCTTTTTGTCTCTGCTGAGCCGCAAGCAAATGTTCTTGTGCAATGTCCCTAGCCAGTTGCATTGTTGATTGAAGATCCTTTAAATACTCCGACACTGGAACTGGATCTGTTGCCGGACTTTCCTCCCAATATTCCTTTATCAGGTCTAATGGACCATGAGCTTTCCTTCCATATAGCAATTCAAATGGACTGTAGCCAGTACTGTCATGAGGGACGGTCCTGTAGGCGAATAACAGTTGTTGCAATTTGACGTCCCAGTCGTATGGCTTCTCTTGACTGTAAGACTTTATCATTTTGACTAAAGTCTTGTTCATATTTTCAACTAGTCCATTTGTCTGTGGATGATAAGCTGTTGAAGTCAGGTGTCTGATACCACATAACTCAAGCAATTTCGACATAAGTCTGGAAGTGAATTGGGTTCCCAAATCTGAAACCAATTCTCTAGGATAACCAGTTCTTCCCCAAATGGATAACAGTGCATTTGCAATCGTTGTTGTCTCGATGTTAGTTAGAGCTACAGCCTCTGGATATCTTGTGGCGTAGTCAATCATGGTTAAAATGTATCGGTAACCACGTCTGCTTGGTTTACAAAGAGGACCCACTATGTCAATGCCCACTCTGTAAAATGGTTCTCCAATTATTGGCATAGGGATCATAGGAGCTTTAATTTTATCCCTTCCAGTACTCAATCTTTGGCAGATGTCACAAGACTGGCAAAACTCTTTGATCTTCTGGAACACGCCAGGCCAATAAAAGTTCTTAGTGATTCTCTTTGTGGTTTTCCTCACACCCAAATGTCCACCTTGAGGGTTTTCGTGTGCCACCCT